CCGGGCCGCTCTGGATGGTGGTTAAAATGATCATAGAAAACTTCGAGGCGCTAAAATCCTGGCTCAGCAAAACCTTGGAGCCCATGTGAGTAGTCGCGACCCTTCCTCTCTTCCCCCTGCCCCCTCCAAAGTCAACCTTCCCTTGGAAAAGGCGGGCATCCTTAGGGGAGGAAAATGCGAGGCCGAAGAGGCCCGTGAGGGCATCCCGGGAGATGCCCTCCCGGCGCCCTTCTTTTCCCGGCCATCTTCTGTGGGGGCCCTGCGCGGGGCTGCGTCGTGCCCCCGCTCTCCGGGCGCCGTCCGCAGCTGGCGGTAGGACCGTCTTTCTCCGGAGGATGCAGCTTCACCCCCTAGCGACCGCCGTCGGCTTTCCCTTTGTAGCCGAGGGCGAGCGGAAGGGAGCGTGTCTGCCTGTGCGGCTCGCTGTTCCCCGCGCTCGGCCCCCGCAGGGGCCAGGCGAACAACCACGGCCTGCCTCCCTGTCCAGTGACCTTCTCGGAGAGAGCTCGGGCGCCATGGAGGTGTTTTCCAGGATCTTGGGAGCCTCACAGTAGCGTTTTCCATAGGTTCATCGCACGTCGTTCTCAGTCCTTTCGAATATTTTATGCTCTTATTTCCCTTCCCCCGAATAAAAATTGCATCAGTAGAGCACTTGGGAGTAGGAGCCCCGGAGAATAATTTGCCTATTTGTGAATACCTGCTTGGCTGCTAAGCATAACATTCATGTGAGTAATTGGGGCTCTTCTGCAAATAGTCCATGTCTTCCTTCTCTGCATTTTAGCGGAATTTATTTTAGTGAAACTGTAGATGTGAGCTTGGTTTTAAAGGTTTTGTCTTCTGGACGTATGGCGTCTATAGACGTTTTAGATCAAAGCATCCACTTGACTTGTCATTCTGAAACACACCATTTTAACATGTCTGAATTGAATTGCTGGACCTTGATTTGAGTCAATAGAACTAGAACTTAAAAATTAATTCTGCTATTAACTTTTCTTCTGAGATGTTTGGCCACTGTTAGTTTTACTCTGATGCTAACAAATGGGGAAAACCCGAAATAAACGGAAGTCTGCTTTATGGCTTCCATAGCCATTAGTTAAGTATATGTATGTACATGTATAGTTTGTATGGCTTATGCTGAAATAACTTGAAAAAGTTATAAAATGCTGGGATGTCTTTAGGAGAGCTTCACTTGCGTTTTGAGGAGGAGGGTGTGTGGTGCCCTTTTTTTCTCTAAAGCCTAATCCAAACCACACTGAAATAGATGAGTCTTGAACTTAATTTCAGCGGACTTTGAATTAGGCCTGCAGCAAATTAAACTGAGTGCCTTTATAGAAGGGGTTTCACCCTTAAGACTATGGTAGGAGTTCTGGGTTTTTTTATTTGCAAAAAAAAATGCATCATTTTCTTGTAAAGGCGTAGTTTTGGGAAGGTGAATCAATCTTCTTCTTCAGTCAATGTAAGTTAATATTAGAATAACAGAGCACGTTGTGTTCTGTGGTAGTAGACCCAAGTAGTCCTCTGGTGTAGAATGCTCCCTGTTAGTCTCTGGATACGTTCTTGCGTGAATATTCTGTTAATGGCAATCAGTAGTTTGATATCAGTATTTAGAGTGTGCTGGTCAAGAAGCTTGGAACAGGCAATATTTAACTTTGGAAAATCTTGTAATTCCCAAAATACATGTTGGTAATTTGAAATGATAAATCATACACACTTACCTCACAGTTGGTCAGCAGCTGGAGATTGGTATACTAGCTTCAAACAGTTTACAAGGAGCATTTTTAAATTACATGAAATCTGAATCTGGAAGTCTGCTAGTGGCATTTACAAGAGGGCTTTAGTTGACTTAAATCCTTTTATTGAATTAAAACATTAGGTTCTTTTGATTTTGCAGGTCTGTATCCAAAATTCATTTATATTTCTGCTCTTTCTTGGCTATTATGCATCAGGAACTGATATTTAACTTTCACCAGTGAATAATGAAGGTCTCCTATTCACAATATAAAAAGTATCAAAAGTTTGCCAGATACTATTTAGCAGGACATCAGTAGGGTTCCTCAGTCTTTCCCCTCAAGGTCCATTCATTGGTGATGTGTAGTCGTAACTTCTTATCGTGGTAACAAACTCATTTTTTTCCGTCTCTCTCTGAATGTTGAACTGTGATATCTGCTAGTAATAGTCAGCAGTTAAAGGGTGAAATGGGATTTTCAGCTTTTGTGATCAGTGCAATTTTCTGCTTTTGAGCACTAAAAGGACCAACATGCTTCTCTTAAATGTGGTGTGTGAGCAGTTCAAATGTGGTTCTCATGCTGGAAAACTGTGTCTTGGGGTATTGAATTGATGACCTGGAGGATGTTGAGTTCTCTGGATTTTTAGTTTTGGGAGGAAACAAGCCAGCAGCGACAGTTAAATTCAACTGTCATTCAGTTTTGTGCAGTGTCCAATATAACTGCATTATTCCAATAAATGTTGGAATTAGTGGAGAAGTGTTGTCATTTCTTAGAGTCAAATACTCTTGGAGCTTCTTCTGATCTCAGCTATCTGAAATGTGTACCTACAGCCATAGCTTCTGGCTGTATGAAAATGTTAGTGTGCAGTTACTTCTAGGTGCAGTACTACTACAATGAGGCCCTAAGTGCTGGTTGTGTGGAGGTGTTACCATAGCCTGAAAAGAATTTTTGACTTGTCTTTTCCTTTTAATGAAACAAAAAAACGTGCCAACTGTTTTTTCTCTCGTGGCCCTTTCAGAAACCTTTAGCTGCAAGACAGGCAGCTGAATTTCCTAACTAGACTAAGGAAGACACCGCTGTATTAGATCACCATGGAGGTATTGTCTCAGTAGTTTTTAGGAGAGAAGTGCATTGAAGAAGATGTATAAATAAATTTTACAAGCGTGTATAGGTCTATATGTGCTAGTTACCTAGACCTGAGTAGTTAAAAATGTGTTATTTTCCAAGTTGCCTGTTTCCAAGTAGCTAGCAGTTTTTAATCAGCATGTATAGCTTGTTCCAAAGGCCATAACACGTATGCTTCTGAAACATGTTTCAGACCTAGAAGATGGCAATATCCATAAAGATTGTTTCATTTTATCATGATGTTTTATCTTTAAATTATTTTACAGCATTAGCAAGAATGCTAACTTTTCAGTGTAATGAAACATGTAAGTGTTACAGTTGTGTGGACTGGACATGGTTTGGTTGTTGGGTTGCTTTCACATGGTGCCTCAGGGAAACACTGTTCATAGACAAGAATGTTTGAAGGAGAGGGATGATGGAGGATTTGAGTTTTGGAATTTTTTGTTTGTTTGTGATGGGTTGTTGGGGTTGGTTGGTTGGTGGTTTTGGACTGCTCTAATGCCTTTGGCAAAGCCTTGGTGATCCTCCATACAAACACTTGTTATCTAAATTCGGTGGTGTTGCAGTAAGGCGGAAACTGCAAATGCTACCATGCTGGAGCATTTACACAGTCCAGCTATGCTTGAGGCTGGTAGTTCTCCAGTAACTTTCTACAGTTCTCCAAAGAGAGGCTGCTTTTGTGGTTTTGGAAATAACTCTTTGAGCAGCTCAGTCTGGTATACAGAGAATTACTGAACAGGCACACAGAACTGTTATGGATACATCTATGTAAATGTACTACCAGTGTAAACAAAGTGGTAAGAGTTTTTTTTTGTGCGGTGGCTTCTCTGTTTTTGACTAGAAGTATCTCATATGTTCAACTCCAGTCAGCTCTGTGAAGAAGGCATTTGTCAACAGTCATCTTTGTTGCTTGCAGACAGCAGTATGCTTAGTTTCTCGTGTTACACACTTTTTCTTGTCTTGTAAAGTGTTTGAAAGAAATTCTAAACTTGGAATATAACCCTATGTCTATCACTTCTAATTTCTGTACTAACAAGGCCTTAGCTGAGCCATATCTATTGTGATGGATTTCTTTTCTGCAAGTCCATTCCAGATCCTGTGTAAACTGTGTATATAATCCTTGCTGGAATATCAGGATCTGGCTTGGCAAAGTTCCAAGTAGGGATTTCTTTTTCATTTTTGTCTTGAATTTGTTTGAATCTCTACCTGTGAAAAAATTAGCTCTTTTGTACTAATGCTGTACTCACCCTTTTGCGTTGTAAAACATTGTAATGTTCTCCCTCTTGCCCTAATTCTTTACAGTGGAAAATTTCTTGTTTTTAATTACTTTGTGTAAAAATAAATTTAATTAAAATCCTCAACTGGCCCACTGAATTTTACTTACAACTTGATTATTCCCGTATCTAATTTTTTCCACTTTGCTGTGTTTACATTTTTATGAAGGTTTGTTCATGTACTAAATGAGACTTGCAAGGAAGATGAAAAAATACATAAAACAATGTTTATGCAGTATTTATGCATACCCTATTAAAGCAGAAAGGTTTTTTGCATTAGTTAATTTTGTAAGTGATCATGGTGTTGTAAGTATTTATGTCAGAGAGAATAAAATTCAAATTGATCGAAGAATATTTTGAGTATATTTATCATTGGAATATTTTATGGCAAACTATGTTCTGGCATTCAGTTATGCCTTCATGTTCTATTTTTTGTTTGTCATGCTTTTCAACCTTTTTTTGATAAGTATCATATTTTTTGTCTGTTTGTATCTTTGCTTAAATTGTTAATAGGTTACTGGTTAGCGATCTTCACCCAGTTGCTTAAGATAGTGAATAAAAAAAGTTTAACAATGGTGTAAGGAATATGCTAATAAGCCAAGGTAGTGAAAGAGTAGAAATAAGTTAAAATTAAAAACTTCAGCATTCCTTTCCACATGTATCTGGCACACCATCCTGCTAACAACACCATCGGCCCACCAGGAGGTTTCACTGTTGTTTCCCATAAAACTTCTTCAGAAGTTCAAAAGCAATAGATGTGTCTTTTCTTTTCACTTACTCTGTTAACACTTTACATTAAGCTATTTATAACTAAGATAAATAAAGCACAAATACACATCATTGGTATGTCTGTCTCAACACTAGTGAAGATGAAAAAAAAAAAATCTTCTGCATCTCTTACAAAAAATGATAGTTTTGTTCACCTGACTCGTGGAGAGCTGCTGTCTTTGAGAAATTGA